CCCCCCCCCCCCCCCCCCCTTAAAAATAAATAAATAAAGCTTAAAGCTGTTGACCTTTATGGCTGCAATAACAACCTTCTAAAATATTGTTTCCCCATTAAACTAGCCTTGCATAAAATTGTATTCCAACGCATAATGAAACAGAAATAGGCAAAGTATATTTCTGAGTTACCTTATTGATACTCCTACACACAGCCAAGTTAATTCCATTTAAATGCCAGTATCACTCAGCAAACATGCAATTAGGTTTAAAGACAAATTAAACATTATTTTTATGTTCATTCTCCTTGCTAATTTCCCAAGGAGGAACATCTCTTTCTAATGTTTGAACTCTATTCACATGTTGCCTTAAAAAGCTGAGCTGTAGAGGGTGCTGAACTGTACCGATGGAGGAACATACCAGATGATACACACATCTGCAAATCAAGGGGGGAAACTGGAAAGATAGGTTTTGAGTATGAAGCCTTTACTTTTCTGAAGCAACATCGTTCAAACTGGTGTCCAAAGATTTTGCTAAGCTACTGCACTTTGTCAACAACTGGTAATAAATCCATAAAGTACAGGGGTTTGAACAGACTCCCTGGAAGCTTTAACACTCTAGACATCAGCCTGAATTTATCCGCTAAAAGCAGCAGATGTTCGTAGCTCAAAAGCTAAGGAGTAATGCAGTGAAAATTAACAGTAAGCATTGTCATTTTAGGAAGAAATAAGTAAAAATTACTAAAATCAAAACCATTCTCTTCCTGGAGGGAGAATCTGACAACGTGACATGGCCAAAGTGCTGCAGGTTTTGAAAGACCTGAAGTGTTGGGGCCAGATACCACAAGGTTCAGAGCACCCTTACAACCTGCTAAAATCAATAGGGATGGAGGTATATTGCTCCTTGAAGGGATGCCTATTGCCTTGCAGGACTGGGCCTTCTCAAATAAGGTATGACCCCAAATGGCCATGATGAATAGTACTAAGAAAAGAAAGAGAGAGAAATTTCTTAGCACACTGATTTGGATAATCATGTCACATTAACATTCATCTTTTCATGAAAATGGACTGTTTCACATAGTGTTCAGTCTCAGAAATGTTTAGTATGATGATGGAATAGAAAATGCTCCAGGTAACTTATTTTCTGAAGATTTTGACTTGGCGGGAAAAATGCAGACCAGTTATTGTTCTTGTGTGTTTGAGCACATGTCAAAGAAAAAAGGTAACAAATGGCAAAATGCCTGGTCGATTAGGAAAAAAGAAAAGGAAAAAAAAATTAACTAAAATTTAGAGCTTCCTAGGGAAAAAGTAATGTGTTTTTTTTAAGAATACTCATCGTAATGAAGCTCTCCTAAACAAGGAAAAGTAATAATGAGGCAGTTTAAACTTGAGATAATAAAAAATACCCCATGGTCCATCCAACCTAGCCGTCTGCCTGAAAATCACAGGCAGGAGGTGACGTTTACAAAAAAGCCTAAGAGTCTGGCCCCATTCTTCAGTTCACTGACAAGTTTTGTACAAGGAAAGCAGGACAGCACACCACTGCCTAGCCATTCTAGTAGCCATTTACAGACTTTTTACGGGACCTGATGTTCACCTATTCCCCTATGCCATTTTAAACCTGCTGACACTGCTTGCCTCCACAATCTCTTGTACCAAGTTTCAGAAGTTTGCTGCATAAAGAAATATCTTTTTAAACCCGACTTAAACCAAGCCCTTCCAGTTTCATCAACAGACTCCTGGTTGTCATATTCTGGATCTGGTGAACAACTTGGAGAAAACGAACCAAGGGTTTGAATGGAAATCAGCCTGTGAGATGGCATCCAGAAGTCGTCAGACAGCAGAGCCATGGCTAACATTGCCTCAGTTGACAGAGGACAAATGAAGTGTCACTTGCAAAGGTACCAGAGCTCTGTAGAAGTTAGTGGCTCAGCTGTGAGCTGGGTATGAAAGTCAGAAAGCAGGTAACATAACACTGCCTTAGTACTGCAGAGATAGGGGTATTAAATCAACTTCCAATCTCCACAAATTCAAATCAGTCACTCTTTATCTGTATGCAGATGTGTGAATCTGCATAGCAAACCATTATACTCATTGCTAAAGATGTACAGAAAAAGATGGGGCATCTGATTTTAATAGTTGATTATTACTTCCTGAGAAACTTAAAAGTATTCAGTTGAAAGCACATCATTTTAGTTCAGTGTGTTTCAGGTTGAGATGACTGAGCTTATGTACTTCCAGAATCCACTTCTTCAACACTTCACTTTCATAATTCCATGTTTATCTGTTATTTGCATTTCATTACTTCCATGGAAAATATGAAGCCAAATGTATTTTCCATTTTAAATATTCTCTAGCTCACAGACTTTTTTAGTAGCATTCTTATTCAATTGACAATTATATAGCAGTTTTCTTGAAGGATCCCAATTTTCTTTGCAAGTGCTTATAAGGATATTTATGTGAATACAAACCATTGACATGAGTAAGGGTTTGCCAGTTCAAGTCCTCACACTGCCCCAGAAACAGTGGATGGCTTTAATGACAATTTACAAAATGGCACTTAACAGACCTTGTCCTAAACTAGACTTGCATCGCAAAGTGGTTTGCTGCTGCATTAGCTGCACATAGTGTTGACAGTAGTAGATATTTTTGTTCTGTCAACAAGACTTTAGTCTTAGACCTGTTCTTTTTAAGAATTTTTATGCACTTCATGTGATACCTTTAAAATCCTGTGTGACAAACCAACACATAAATGAATTACCATGTCTAACTGTAGTTAGACTACACTTCTAATACAAAAGAGTTTGTGCAAATAATTGTATCACTGATGTTATGTAAAAATCCAGATACATGATGTGTCCATGAAGATCCAGAGGAAACTATGTATGTATTTATCAAGAGATACTTATTACAATAGAAAAATAAAGTCAATGCATTCTAGATCTGCATTAATCAAATAAATGGGTCCTTTCCTATTTCCTCATTTTTCACAGCTCACTGTTCTTTTCTAAATCAGTGCTAATATGTTCCTATAAAGACACTTGTATGATGAGTCTGTGTCACCCAGCAATTCATTAGTATAGGATGTAGCTCTCCTGAAGTAAATTCACACCCAGACTGGCCTTCAATAGACAGTAACACACAGGCTGAAGTAAATAATTTTGAACGGAATTTCTTTAAGTGGCACATGCATTAACTCAAGCGCATAAAGATCTTTTAGTCACTAGGCATGAGGGTACAGACAAGTATTAAGTATTATTCCTCATTGCTACAGTATTAGGATTAGCTCTGATCTAAACAGAGCTTGGCTGAGGAATGCAAGTCAATTCATTAAAACAACAAACAAACAGTGATTACTTCAAAAAATGTTTATCACTCACCCTCAGCCGGAAGGGCCAAGATGGACCTACTCCTGCTTTGCCTGCCCTCAGCATTTTTACTGGAGCATGAGTGGGAACATGGGGACCACGGAGACCACTCACTGAGGACACAGTCTGTTGCACAAGGGATTTCACAAGCTACAACTTCAGGACGGGGAAGCTCTGAGCAGAGGTGATGTGATACTTCTTCACCTGGAGCAAACAAAACAAGACAGACATGGATGAAGGCCCAGCTCGGTTCAGTATCCACCGCCTGCATCAAGCAGACTAACTTTATGTCAAATGCCTGTCTGCCCACCCGTGGAACAAAAGAGCACGCGGTTAGGCTTCAGGCCTGAAAGTGTAATATTTGAAAAACTAAAGTACTTCTTTGGAAAAGCAAAAAAGGAAAAAAATGTGGTTTAAGTTTTCTGTGTGACATCTTGGCTGCAGTCCACTTCATAAAGCAGACAAACACAAGGAATGAGATGATCCAATCAATGGAAAGCTGTAATATCAATTATCAAGAGAATTGATGATAATTGTCCCCTATTTTCCAGCAATCTCCACCTACAGAACCTATTTCCCACAATACAAATTGTGCAGGTTCCCACAAAAGGCAGTTTTCTTTTGCCTGTAGGCCAGAGAAGTGTCCAACAGATGTTTTGGTCCTTCTCCTGCAACCTCACCAGAATGAACCACTGTTATTTCTGACTCTGCTTCTCACCCAAAAACTAGGGAATCTGAAATTATGGATCTATTGGACCACTCCAATCCAAGGAGAAGTACTTTCTGTTGGAGATGAACCAAGGGACCTGGGCCAAAGCATACCTCCTGATGAGGAGCATCCTTCCAAAAGTCCTTTCACTAAGAAGGTAGGACAGTGGGGACTGGTGGGGAAAAACCTACCAACCAAAAGAACTGCTAGCAGAAAGAGCAGCAAAACAAAGCCCATGAAGGATGTCATGCAGAGTCCAACACACAAAACTATTGTTTTTAAAAAGCAAAATGAAATATTATTTTTTTAAAATAAGGAAATGTCCAGTAATTTTAGTAATTACATAGAATTAACCAGGACATCATAATTCATAAGAATTCATAAAACATAACTCTTTTAGTATTGAATTACATCTAGTGGCTTACAAGTATAATTTAAGCGATGGACAGACATGACTGACTTAGTGACACTGTTCTATTGCTTAGTGTTTCTGGACCTTCATGAATTTTCAGCTGCATGTGCGAAATTTCTGGAAGCTCAAATCTACCTGTTTAAAAACAACAAGCTCACACTGAACGTTACCTCCTCTTTTGCCCTTATAATAGTTACAAAGCTCTCCTTCAGGGTTTCTGTAATTATGAACCTAGGAAAAAACATAATGACTATCCAGGCTCAATTATACATACAGAAAAAAAAAAAAATTATTTATAATGGCAACCAACTGGCTCTTTCACCTCACGCTACAGGAACAGGCTCTGCAACAAGGCGGCCCAGGATGCAATTATAACTAGGAGGGTAGAAAACCATACTGATTTTGCAAGGCAAAACATATACAAGTGAGTAAATAAGAAAGGCAGGCTGCTAGTGAGAGTGCATAAAGCTGTCAATAGCACAGTGGTATTATCTGCAGTTGCATCCCTAAATGAAGACAGGCTCATCACCCTCGAGGCACAAATAAAACTTTTCAAGCATATTATGAGAAGTAACAGAGAATCTAGCAGGCAATCAGACTGCAAGATATGTTTTAAAATACTTTATTTTTATATTTCCTTTCCCTTGCACATGCCTATGCTCGTCAGGAAAGTCTTGATGTGTGCTGTCTTTGCACTATTATTTTAAGTCTACTCAATGAGAAAATGCAAACCAACACCCTCCCTACAGAGAGCCCCCATCCTTTGGTACTGCATTTGGCACCCCTGCAAACCAAGCTTAATTCATCATTCATTTCAACTAGTCCATTATCTCCACTGCTGCTTTGGATGCTCACATAATGCTGAGAACTAGCTTTAGAGAAAAACAATATAAAACCACCAAATAAACCTGTAAGCCTTATTCCAGCTGTCTTCCTGAGTCATTTTAGCGTCAAAATCCCTGCTAACATTTTGACAGCCTGTCTGTACAGTGGCAGATAACATGAGGGCATCCTGAGCCAGCGTGATTTTAGGAGTCAACGGTACAGTAGCATCAAGAGATTATATGCTTTGGTGAAGTAGGCAGAATATCTGTCTTGCTCTCCCATCTCTGACACTTCGAGGGAAGCACACGAACAGTCAGTAGCAGAATGAGAAGGGATGAGATGGGACAGTGGCCCTGCAAGCGTGGCCCCCCATCCATGCGAGGAGTTATCTTCATTATATACAGATTTTACAGCATGAAGCGCCATGCAGCTCACTGAATTCTGAATTTAGCCCAATTCTTCCACCAATCAGATTGTGCTGAAGATGTAAGCATCAGAGAAAACTCTACTTGCTGAAAGGCAGCAGGGCTTTCCACTGATTTCATCTGACTTTACAAAATCCAGGTCACTCTATTCAGAAGATGGTTTAAAACATTTGGGTCTCCTTTGGGGTGGCTTTCTCCACCCATGAGCCCAGGTGCCACAGATTTTCAAGTGACCACCCTGTGGGGATGGGAGACAAAGGAGCAAAATGCACTTTCCAATTCTTTCCTCCGTGATTTCTTTTCATGCTGGATTTACAGCAGGTGACAGCAACAGTAACACTGCAAACAGAGGCTGCAATTCATGGCTCTTCAGCAAAGAAAGGAAGCTTTGAGTTTTGTTATAAAGAGTTTACCACCCAGTGCATGAAGGCACAATTCAACACTCACTTTGATTTACTTTATAGCTCTATTCGCTGTGTTCAGGTTTAATTACTGGCTTGTATTACTGCAGAAGGGGAATGTTCTTCTGTACCAGCCGCCTGGCAGAGAATTCTCAGAAAACTACCATACACTACAAAGGGAGGTAATAATCTTTCATTTTCCATGAAAAATACTAGTACGGGATATATCTGAAGTGTGCTTTATGCATTGTCACAGATTTAAAGAGACTATTAAATTCTCCAGAGCTTCCAAATTGCCCACCCAGTACCTTGAAGGTGTAATTCCTATCTCAGATATTCTGAATAATCTTTCTAATCTTTCTTTACACACATACGCCCATGGGGTAGGATGGAATCCACTCAAGTTTACTAAGGGAGATGACAGAAGTGCTCACCAAGCCACTTTCCACCATTTATCAGCAGTCCTGGCTAACGGACGTCTCAGTTGAATGGAAGTTAGCAAATGTGACACCCATCTACAAGAAGGGCCAGAAGGAGGATCCAGGGAACTACAGGCCTGTCAGTCTGACCTCAGTGCCAGGGAAGGTTATGGAGCAGATCACCCTGAGTGCCACCAAGCGGCACATACAGCACCACCATGTGATCAGGCCCAGTCAGCATGGGTTTATGAAAGGCAGGTCCTGCTTGACTAACCCGATTTCCTTCTATGACAAGGTGACACACTTCGCGGATGAAGGAAAGGCTGTGGATGTTGTCTATCTGGACTTTAGTAAGGCCTTTGACACTGTTTCCCACAGCATTCTCCTGGAGAAACTGGCTGCTCATGGCTTGCACAGGCATACTGTTAGTTGAGTAAAAAAACTGGCTGGATGGCCAAGCCCAAAGAGTGCTGGTGAATGGAGTAATTCCAGTTGGCAGCTAGTCACAAGTGGTGTTCCCCAGGGCTCAGTGTTGGGGCCAGTTCTGTTTAACATCTTTATCAAGGACCTGCACATGGAGATCGAGCGCACTCGGTAAGTCTGTAGACAACACCAAGTTGGGCAGGAATGGCGATCTGCTGCAGGGTAGGAAGGCTCTGCAGAGGGATCTGGACAGGCTGGATTGATGGGCTGAAGCCAACTGTATGAGGCTCAGTAAGGCTCAGTGCTGGGTCCTGCACTTGGGTCACAACAGCCCCATGAAACACTTGGGGAAGAGTGGCTGGAAAGGGGCCCAGCAGAAAAGGACCTGGGGGTGTTGATTGACAGCCGGCTGAACAGGAGCCAGCAGTGTGCCCAGGTGGCCAAGAAGGCCAATGGCATCCTGGCTTGTGTCAGAAATAGTGTGGCCAGCAGGACTCCCCCTGTACTTAGCACTGGTGAGGCTGCACCTCAAACACTGTGTTCAGGTTTGTCACTACAAGCCAGACACTGAGGTGCTGGAGTGTGTCCAAAGAACAATGAGGCTGGAGAGGGGTCTAGAGCACAAGTCCTGTGAGGAGCAGCTGAGGGAACTGGGGGTGTTTAGCCTGGAGAAAAGAAGGCTCGGGGGGGACCTTATCATTCTCTACAGTTACCTGAAAGGAGGGTGCAGTGAGGTGGGGTCAGTCTCTTCTCTCAGGTAACAAGCAATAGGATGAAAGAAAATGGCCTCAGGTTGCACCAGGGTAAATTTAGAATGGATATTAGGAAAAATTTCTTCACTGGAAGGACTGTCAAGCACTGGAACAGGCTGCCCAGGGAAGTGGTGGAGTCACCATCCCTGGAGGTATTTAAAAGATGTGTAGATGTGGTGCTTCGGGACATGGTTTAGTGGTGGACTTGGCAGGGCTGGGTTATCAGTTGGACTTGATCTTAAAGGTCTTTTCCAACTTAAACAATTCTATGTTTCTGTGATTCTAGAGGAGGCTTTCTCCCTCTTTAAATAAAACTAATGCCTTCAAGCACCTAAATTATGCAACTGAATGCAATATGAATTCCCCTCCAAGTATGCATTTAGATCTCAAGACATAGCATCTGAAATCAGCCCTGGTGAGTAGCAGAGTGGGGGATCACAGCAGAAGGGTGCCAGTCTTGAAGAAAGTCATTCCATTCAGGGAAAAGTGGGAAAGGGACTGCACTGACCATGGCAGCTACAACTTTGGTCCCTATTAGAATTTTTTATATGGGAACCCATGACATTGCTCTGAAGATCATCTTGGGATAGCCAGGAATTAAACCCAGATGGCTATTCAGGGACCCAGTCTCTCCTGCTCAGGGCCTGCAGCAGCTCCCTCCTGATGGGAAACTCATTCCTGTCCGAAACTTGCTGACATGTTGAAATAAACTGAGAGCATCATTCATCCATTCATCAGTAAACTGAGCTGTCCAAGGCAAAAGGACAGAAGGCATCTTCAAAAAAATGAAAAAGCAAAAATACATATAAGTCCTAGGTTTTGTGCAGTCCTCTAGTTA